CAACAAATACAGTCCACTTTCGAACGAGAAAAGGAGAACCCTTTTTTCCTCACATCCATTTCATACAAGATTAATTCGGCGTGTGAAAGTGTTACGCCAAGTCCACTATTACTGTCTGGACAGCGTGCACGACCAGAAATAAAAATAATTATTCTAAAAATTAAATTAGTTTGCAAAACAAGCTTAAGGCATATATACGTATAAATTGAAAACTCACAGTGAAATCTTTTTGTACAAAACTTCGTTTCCCAGAGAATCAGAATTAAATCTTTGATACATACTCGTGATATTATTGCTGATGTATCTGACTATCATCGACCTGTTCTACTTAGAGAAATGCAAGTACTGTGTGATACATGTGTACCTACATCTCATCGAGTTTACCATTCTCTATCAATGAATTTATGTAAAATAATTGTGAGTACTATTAATATCAGATTCTTTTTAATTCATAACCTTGAATACAAGTAGGAATAAATTTTAATGATCCACATTTATAAGAACAGTTTATGTTCCAGAATTCTCCTAAATTTAATGACTAATTTAATACAAGTTCTTCACATTCAAAAGTTATTTACATTTTAAAGAGTGTTTACATTTTATTTAAATCAAATCAGCACAATTCGGACTTTACATTTTACAGTTACTGAAATCAACACATGTTTTTATGAGAAATTGTTTAGTAGAGGCGTTACAATAAAAGTCGCATTAGATCTCAACAAATATACCCCTGTAAATCCTGGAGGAAATTAAAAACGAAACACTTTCATTGCTCAGTAGGTTTAGCGCCAGAGATTTAACAACGAACGAATGTACGAAAGTCGTTTTGCAGTCGCCGAAAACATTCTCTGCGCTGGTTTACGACGTAGTCGCGGAGAAGGTCTAATTTATGACACCTTTAACTGTCCATCGTCCCAGCTTTCTGTATACTACAGTGACAAAATCTGGAACCATGAAGGAACGCTTCGAGAAATACCAAAAGTTCCACGTTCCTCTTCCACCGGGTAGGAGTTAATGACCATATTGCTCGGAGTGTTGTAACCCGATTATTGTTACTCGTCTAACTTGAGAAGTAAATGGAATTATGATCTTGATATTGTCAATAATATTAAAGATTAATAAATATTTCATAATGAAAACTATCTATTTCACTATTTCTACATTAAAAATCTGGTTTTCCGAGCCCCCAGTAACATTTAAACAATACACCCCTAAATAATCCTCTAGTCCTCACAGCCTTGAAGTAGCACGTATACCATTTCAAAACGTGATTCCTAAAATTGACCGTTGCCTTCTCGAATATTCACACGTTCAAATGAAAAAAGAAAAAGAAAAATGGCTTTCCTGACTAGAGTGACCCTTCAAGAGATGCAAGCGCAATCGCGGCGGTGTCGAGAAAGTTGGTCGGACCCAGCTGATTTATGGGAGCGTGCTGGCGGTAAATTCGTGATATATATTTTACCTGACGGCGATGTCGTTGTTGCTGCGCGTTATCCCGCCGTCCTCGCTGAAAATGAAGATACGCGTCGTGCCGCGATACCATTTGATGCTGTGGAGCCCTTTGCACTGGGGTGATTTCAGAACGCACGGCAGCTGCACCTCTGTGCCGAGTTCAGCCCGCTTCTCGCTCCTCAGCCACGGCTCGTTGCTTCCTGGAACAAACGTACGCAAACGCCGTGAATTGCGCACCGTTCGTTCGTTCGTTTGTTTGCTTGTTTGCGAAAAGGATAACGCCCCGGCGAAATCATTTTATTCGGCGACGAGCCGCGCGCGGGAAACGTGACCGTTGTCCCGTAGACAGTTCGGTTACGATTCGCACGCGAGTTGTTAAATCATCGATACGCGCCGCGCGATTCACGCTAAGGACGCGAAAACTCGTGTACATTTGCAAACTGGACGATTCTGTGAACGTTGCACGCACGTCCGATGAAAATCTGCCTCGTTGACAGGTTTTTTGATTACGTGCGGAGGATTGACCAGTTCATCATGGGTTTTTTGGTCTTTTAGCAAAATCGATGGTGGAATGTTTTGTTAAGAATAAACATACCGTGACAAATGACCGGTTTTTAAATTTGATCAAAATTTTGCGTTTTCTTTGGGTTATTTCACTTTATGTCGATTCCTATATTGTGTGATTAAACTGTTTTTTCAATTTTTGTCTGTTCTTTCGTTGTCTGTTTCTACTGAGAAAAGTGTATTGTCTATGTAACTTGTTTACCTTAATTTTGTAAGTTATTTGATTGGTTAGTACTAAATACAATGTACCTTTTCATGAAATATTCAGAAAGGAAATAAATATGGTTAAGATTCTTAACATTACTCATTAATGTTTCATATCAAGATGGGTGATGAAATCATTTGGATTTGTTCATTGATGAGAAAAGAGTTGGTATTATTGTTCCATAAATAATATAATTTTGTACATGCTGACTTCTACTGTAAATAATTAATACTTATGTCTGCTTTCTAATTGTCGATGCATTGACTATGTTGCGTACGACCTTTCCTCACTTTTTGATTAATTTTTTAATGCCATTTTTTAAAAAGTTTTTAGTAATATTTTCGTGAGATTAGAAGTACACTTTTGTTCACGTTGTATACAGAATTTTCCTTAATAAGGACTTTAGAAAAGTTTTACATCCTGCCTTTATGAAGATACTGTAAAATATCTACCAAAGGAAATTCTGGAGCTTATAAACAGTGTAATATTATTCTCTTAGACATTCGAGAGTGGCAGAAAATGTTCTAGTCTCAATATTTTCTGTTTATCAAGTTACAAGTACTTTCTGTCCCGATCACGTGTACGGGCGTTTATGAAATGTCAGCATACGGAGTCAATTCCCTCGATGACCCGGAACGCATTTCACGAAATGAAGAAGTACGGGAACGTTTCAATATTTCTCTCCTATCGTCGCTGAAGCTATAAATATAGCGCTTTTTACAGAGATATGAAATGATAAATCACACTGGATGCACAGCGCCGTACGGTACGCGGGATTCCTTTTTTTTTCTTCTGTTAATCTGAAAGCGCGCATTGAAATTTACAACGGGCTGTGCGTTGTTTTAATTTTATATTTTGTGGCATCTCCGTCATAAGCCACGACGAACGATCACATCATTTCTCGGTTGTTTATCCATCGACCACGAAAAAATCAATTGGGACGTTCCAAAGACAAATCGGTTTACGGTGATTCGTTTCAACACAAGTTTCTTTATCTCCAGTAGCATCATCGCGGAAATTATCGCCTCGTTATCTAAATATTAGATGGTGGCGAAGATGAACGTTGAATGCCAAGCCAGCCCTAATCTACATACACGCTCCTGATACCATGTTGTGAACGCGGCACTAAATTTCCCAGTCACAACTTATGATAAACAAGAGCATAATTCTTGGTTAATTCTCGTGAAAACTCCGCGCAGTCAGGTGAGAGACTGCGAAACTTTGTGAAACTGGAACCGCCACGGAAATTGACGACTTAAGGTGATTTATTAGCGGTTTCTGCGACATGGGGTATTTCATTCGTGACTACTCCAAGTTTCCGTTGATCGAGTGAACGTGTTTGGGAAAGAATATATGAAAACCGAGCTGAATGAGGTATATACTTGACCCCTTGTTTTATAATATCGTGTCAGACAGTTGGTGTGGTGAACATTTGTAATTGTATTTGATTAATATACATGTTATTTACCTTTTCTGAATCTTGTCAAAACGTGTTATCGCCAGTGATCGATAAAATGATTGATTCGTATAAAATTATTGATTAGAAATTTGTTAGAATTGTTATTTACGAAAAAGATGAACGTTTTATGGGTCACTCTCGTGTTAAAGTTCAAAGCGTATGGTTTGTTCTATAATGTATAATTAAATACATATCGTGTTATTGGATTTTGTCATTGGACAATATTCCAGACAAACCTGGCACATGTTGGTATTATATTATCAATCGTTAATTATTGGAGTAAACGCAGACATGCAATAAGTATCAAATTATTTTATTTTTCTTATAAATTATTAAGGATATAACAGTTTTATACGGCACAGTCTAGAACAAAAATCATAGGGAAAGGGGTTAATAATCGATGAAGTAACGGAAACCATTTCGTTCTCGAATTTTTGAGGAACAGGTTAAATCAAGTGGGAAGATTGGATATTCGTTTACGTGGTTCCGTCGGAAACATATTTTCTTGTATGAAATTCAATTTTACGCGCCTCATCCGTTTCTTCAATTTTCCAAGTGTCGTGCCAACTGTTTCAGCAATCCCCCCTACGAGCCGCATAAACACATCGCCCATAAAAATCCCGTTCACCGCTGAATCGAAAAGCTGTCTCAAAGGGGACAATAATCAGACAGTGGGTTTCGCTTGTTGCAACTTATCCGTGTATCGAAAGTCGATACAATTTTCATGATACGTGACGCGCGAATGAATAAAATACTGTTAAAGAAAATGCAGTGCATACGGAATAAATCACACGGAACTTTCAGCTTGTGTTTCTTTCTTAATGATAACGTTCGTACGTCTCGTGGGATATTTGTTTCTAAATAACCTGATTGTTGCGAAACTGTCTGAGGTATGCGAAATAGTTCTCGGTATTTCTAGTTTTATAATTCTCAGGTATTTGTGATTTAACATTATTACATAGAAATGATGATAACAAGTTATGGAAATATTTATTTGTTATGTATTCTCATTTTATTGTTAAATAAATAATCGTTGGACGAATAGAAATATGAAATTGTAAGAATGCGATAAGATTTACGTAATTTATAAAACTAATTTATGTTAAAAGTGCTCTCGAATTAGACTTAAGATGAAACACTCGGTAGCTTACCATAAAAAAACATTACCAAGCGTGAGTCCCCGACCGTAATCGAGAAAGTGAACATGAAGATAAATTTTATTATCAAGTTTTATTATATTTTCCTTAGTTAATCGCGTGAAAAAATTTAGAAAGAAACCTGACGAATTATAATTAACGAAATACATATTTCAAAGTTTCTCAATTTTTTGCTTGAAAATTTAAATTATAAGAAATTTGAGGCTTTAAATAATTCGAATAAACGAAAATTTCGTGGTGAAATTAATTTTAATATCTTTCTTCTTTTTGTGTTCAAACTCGAAGCAAATTTGGTCTCTTCCAACGGAAAGGGTCGATAGCAGGGATGTGTCAGGAAAGCGAAAATGTTAGAAGGGGAAGTGTGTTTGAATATGTAGGGAAAGAAAATCTGTTAAAGGCTCGGGGTCGCGAACGGTAAGTGACAGAAGCTATGTAGATCTGCTTATCTTCGAGGGGAACTGGATCCCAAAACCCTATCACACCGCAAATATTATATTCAAGTGATGAATAATCTAGAATGTCGAGATGTCCCGCATTACGGTTTCCATTCTCGTCCCCTGCGAAGTAAAATGGCCGTTGTTTAACACCCCTTAGCGTACAGTGAAATGGCACTGGACCTCGTAACTCGTTCTTGACTTCAAAAATACGGTGGCGATCTGTTTCTCATTGAATATTGATTCGCTATGAATGCTCAAGGAGTTGATCAGTTCTTCGATGAAGCTCACGTAGGTGTAAGATGTTTTGTAATAGTGTTTGTTGGGTTCGTGCAGTGTGAGGGAAAATTTCATTTTGACAACATGCGAAAAATAAGAATAACGAACCGAAGTTGTATTCACTAATAATTATTAAATAGTTTTGAATGAAAATTTACTCAAATAGGTTCGATTAAGAATAATACATTAAAATAAATAATTAATTATTAAAATGAATAAAGATTGAATTTTAATTAAAGATAATTATTTTGAATAAATAGATAATATATGTGAGTGATATCCACGAATATTCGAATGACTGGAATTTATTTAACTGTTTGTCTTAGATAAATATTCTTCGAAACAATTCGAATAATGCTTACTACTTTGTTATATATATAAAAGAAATAGAAAGAAAGAAATTTTTAAATTCTACTATTAATAATTATATATATATATATATGAGACACTTTTCCGAGAGATCTTCAATGGGATGAAGCAGTTTTGTCTAAACGAAATAATTATCATTAGCTTACACTTTCCTTTAACAGGTTAATGGTACACGATAACCTAAGAGTGCAAATTGAAAGATGCCCTCAAGAGTAGAAGGCACTATTGGACACAGACCAAAGAGCCACTTTACAACGTCTAGTAACTCGTAGAAGTCTACTATCATGTGTACGCCGTAACTCCTTTATGCCTGCACGGTAACAGTTCATGTTCTTTGATGAAACAAATTTCGGAAATGCTCTTTGATACTGCCAATTTCATCCTGACACCTCTGGAACTAGCAAATTTCTGCGTTGAAATGTTACACGTTCATTTGACACTGTTATAAGGAGAAATTCGTGAACACACTTTCAGCAATTCTATTCATTGATATTTAAATAATATATTAAACTAACTAAAGTTGAATTATCTGAACGACTAAATGGAACAGTTACTTGTATTTAGATTGACGAGAGCAAGCTAAAGTGAAGAATTAAAACGTACGTTAATACTTCATTTAACGAAAAGTAAGATCATTTATACTTCTCGGTGAGAAACATGATATTTAAATACGAATTTATTTCGCAAATTGGAGAAGACAAACGAAGCGTGTAAGTTCAACACAACTGAGCGT